ATGGCGATGGAATCCAGTCCCGTTTGTGAGGTACAGCTGTCATTGTGGGTGTGAAAGAGAAGGGAGTAATATCAAAAGGAGCGGGAAGGTGTCCTGCTTTATCATTTGCCACTGTGGTAAAAAACCTGAAGTGGCATTTGGAACATGACAACTTCACTTCCTTCATCACTCCCGTTACACCCATGTTCGAAAAACAATAAAAACCCTTTCTTATGTCAGTAGGACTAAAACTTGGCCTCTCGATTTCTGTCATTAGTACTTACAAGGCTCAGTCCTTGGCCCTCTTTTGTTAACCATTACTCTATCCGCAGATTACATTGACTTATTCATTTCTTCCAAAAAGTTCTTATTTTAGGAAAGAAAGCGCCAAATTTGGGGCGTTTAAAAAAGACTTACGAAAAAAAAAATCTTTAAATTATTAGTTGAAATCAGAAACTCTTAAGAGGTTGAAACGTGTAACTCTCATAATTGTTTGCTTTGTCCGATGCTCGTGATTATTCAGTTTCGAAAGTACCATATTTGGAAAAAGAAAAAGAGATAACTGACCAATCAAACTTCTTAAACAACGTGACGTAATTTTACTTCAGGTTCCCGCGCCCGCTTGAAAAAAAATGGCCGACAAACGGGGGAAAAACACCCGAAAGCCGAGAAAGCTTTCCAAGGTTGAAACCAGGAATATTACCGAAACACTGAGCAGGATATTATTGCCTTACCACCCGGGCCACACATAACATTATGAAACCCATTGACGTCCCCGCAACTTGTTGAAGTTGTCACTTCAAATAACGATGCCTCGTTGACCCTCTGCATAGTAAACCTATACTGCAAATGGGCTTTTAAAATTATTATACTAAAAGTTTAGAATAAACAGTAAAAAATATTTTCGAATAAAATTCATTAGCTGCGTATCGAAAAGTGTCCAAAACCTGAACCTGACATCTTCGCAAAAAGTGATCCGTGTAATGAATGTGAGAAGCATTTAAGCTTAAATTCAGCTTGAATGTTGTGGTCACGATCGTGTTTTGAGCTAATTTCATGAATGAACAAAGTCAAAACAATACACAGAGAAGCCGTTTCTTGAAAATCTTTATTCAAAATCCAAAAAGTTAATCCAGTTTAAAGCAATTCAGGAAACACTATCTGGATCGTGGATCCGTTCACGCGAGTGAAATTGACGGAGCACATGGCAAAATTCAACACAAAATCCATGGAATTTTTCGTTAGCGCCGAAGAGAAAAATTTTTAAAACGTCTTTGAAAAAATTAAAAATACATAAATTCCCTTTCAAAAA